CTTTGATGTGCTTCTCTCCGACTGTGAATGAAATCATCTTCGTCACTCAAGTCCTGGAAATACTAACCAAAACCAAGAGGTGAATACACACATTTATTAAATAAGTTAGTGGAAGTATGGAAAAGAAAACATGCGAGCTTGAGTAGTGGTTAGAGCGCGGGACTTCAGTCCTTGAGGTCCCAGGTTCGATCCTTGCCAAGTGACCAATAGATTTTATCTAAGTGATAATGCCACAACCCCTAGGTCTAGCCTGAAGTATGTGAAAAAACAATCCCTGGCTCGTGCCTAGCGTCCTAGGGGAACAATTTTTTTTTTTACCCAAGTCTGGGACTGTACTTTTCCATTATTTAAGGTCCCAAAAAAATAAAAAATAAGCAAAAAAAATTTTTGTCTAAATTACATGACCTATATTTTGCCCGTACATGGGGCTTCTTCAGCAGAAAGAAGTAGAATGGCAGTTGATAAACTGGCGAACATCAAGCAAGTTATTGTGTTGGGAAGTTTCTTTGTTCTTTCAACTAGCCTACCTGGTGGGACTTTTCTTAGGAAAGTTAGTTGTGTACCAATTCCTTTATCCTTAAAGTAGGTATTCCTAAGGAAAGTGGATTTTCCTCCAATAACCTAACCTGTTTGTATAAATTGCAATATTTATATGTCCGTAGGTCTGACAACTTTTGTGATAAGTCTCAGATTTTTTCTAACATAGTTGGTTTAAAGACAAGTAGTTATACCATTCTGCTAACAAGGTTAGTTTTGTTTAAGGAAAGGCTCTAGGCCAGGATTTTAAATGGTAGAAAAAGGAGGATAGCAGCTAGCTTACCTTGAAAGTGTGGGTAGGACATAGAACAAGTAAAAAAATATTTTGCACACAATATTTCGTCCCCTAAGGGACTTTGTCAAGTGTAGAGAGAGTTTATAAATTACAAGATGGCTGCTGTCATGGCTGATGGCTGTTGACATCAGCCATGACAACAGCCATCAGCCATGACAGCAGCCATCTTGTAATTTATAAACTCTCTCTACACTTGACAAAGTCCCTTAGGGGACGAAATATTGTGTGCAAAATATTTTTATACTTGTTCTATGGCCTACCCACACTTTCAAGGTAAGCTAGCTGCTATCCTCCTTTTTCTACCATTTAACATTCTGCTAACAAGTCTAGTTAGATTACAGATTTATTCTTGAATTCCAGATTCAACATAACACTAGACTTTTTAACCCGAGAAGAAAAGGATTTCTGCAGCAAAATTATGAAGAAGCTGGAAGAAAGTCTAAAAGACAAACAGCAAGATTTGGCAGAGCAAGGAGTAACAGAATGGACAATAACTACGCTTAGGTCCAAGTACAAGGTGTAACTTGGCTATGTAACATTCTTAATGTAACATTCCTGTTGTTGTTAATGTAATCTTATGTTTTTACTGTAAATAATTGCTTAACAGTTTTATTTTCACTTGTTAGCACAATAATACGTTTTACTAATTATTGTAGTGCCATTGTGTTTATTCTGTGATTTTTTTGTGTACCTCTACATATTTTACTGTTTTTAATCCTCGCTTTTATGTTTTCTCAAATTTTAGTCAATGTATATTTTATAATTATGCTCGTTTGCTTATTTTGTATGTCTAAGAGTTCAGCTCAATACAGAAAATGTGGATCGCTGTGATTTTAACTTTAATTTAACTTTTTTCAGCTGACTTGTAGATTTAGCTCAGAGAGGAAGCTATGTTTTTCATTCAAGTACAATTATCTATTAAGTACTCGATCCATGGAACTGAATTATTTGATTGGAGTACATACATTTTTTATTTTATCGCCTCCACGTTACTAGTGAATACATACATTAAAACCCTACTAATAGGGATATTCAATAATCTGACATTGGTCGAAGGAAATTTGTTAAAACTGAACAAGCCTTCTGGGTGCTTTCAGCTGTGAGAACTGAGGTGAACTTGCTCGAAAACTCCTTGATACCTATTAACACTTTTTACCTTTGACTATTTCAATGCTATTCCATTATCTTTGCAATTTCGGCACTTTATGCTGGACTCAGTGTAATTTGACAGTTTCCGTCATCCCCAGCGCTGTGTTATAACCAAGCGTGCTCTTGATTAGCGAGGGTCTACTGTGAGTACGGCAAATAACTGTTTGGTAAACATTTAAGGAAACTTTCAGTTTGAGATAATCCAACATCATTGTTCCCTTACCAACATATTATTTCTAAAAAACTGTCAATATTTATATTTAAGAGTCCTTGGAGGCTAGCGGCTATCTTGGATGATTTCAAACAACTGCCGAAGAGTTATTTATCATCCAATAATATTATTTCAAACACTAAAGTGGTTATAATTTAAATATCTAGGACACTGTGTGATTATAAATGTTCGATGTAGTTTTAAAAGGTTTTCTATGGAAAGTAACGGCCCTCTTGGATTTGCCCGCCATCAATGTTAATTTTGTCAATTTTAAACGGCCCCTGAAGAGTTATTTACCATATCAAAACATTTTTTTCAAATACCAAAGTGATTGCAATTAAAATATCTAGTGCACTCGCTCTGTTGGATAGAAATTTTCTTTGTAGTTTTTTAATAGTTTTATGAGTTAGAGCGCCTAGGCTCCAAGGACTCTATAGAGTATTGGAAACTAAATAGGCGTTCAAATACCTAGGAAATTTAATAAATGTAGTAGGTTTTATTTTTTAACAATTTCAGTGGTAAATGACAATCTACATGTTGATTTAAGACACTGCTGATCTGTGTCTCGTGTAGTTAATAAATGTTAGTAAAATTGTATTGTATACATATCAGAATAATTTAAATACCATTAAAATCAGAAAAGATTGTAATTACTCGTTTGAATGATTTTTTTTCTCATTCAATTGGGCAACTGAACAAATCCAGGTTATAAAAATCATTCCACTAGGAATTAGTTGTGAACAAAAAAGGTTTATGAGAGAAAAAAATCCTTGTATATATGTTTCTAATATTTTATATTTAAAAATAATTTTGCCAGTAAACATGTATTTTTATCAGAACAATAAGACGATTTACCTTAGTTAAATATTAAAAGACTGATGTATTGATTCGTAAGTATAAATATAGTAAATTGTAATTTGTAAGTGTGTTGTAAATTGTAAATTAAAGAGTTCTGACTCAATTAATACATTTACTGTGGTTTTAACTTACAATGATTATAGATCATCTTTGCTATTCACGTTTTTAAGTTATTTCGCATTTAGGGAATAAGCTATTACTGTAGGTCTCATGGTAAGACCTGGGCCCGGACCCATTAACTTTTTTGTTTTGATGTTCCCAGAGGCCAAAACCACAATCCGTTCAAATTCATATTTATGTATTGTTAGCACAATGACCTGAGTAAAAACTTAAAATGATCCGATTTCGATGAAATCAACTAAAAGCATATGTGCCTATTTAATTTTATATAAACCTTACAATTTTAAGGAAATATTTTGATAAAAATCCTATCAGGGAAATTCCCTTAGTCTGCAGGTTTTCTGCATCGGCAATATTATTGTAGTTTTTTATCAATTGTAAAGTTTTTTTTTGTTATATATTTAACACAAAACGAATTTGTTTATATTTCTTCCTGATTATCACATCTATTATTATTAGGAGCGTTTGATTGCATACACTATTTGATGTTTAAAAATTTAAAACTAAATCAAGTATGTATTACCACAGTAAATGTGTAAAAAGCTTCTGCTTTTTTAAAGATTAAAATATCTTTCCTCAAGAAGAAATACTAATTGCTCAGTTAATGCATACTTTAAGTTGAATGTTTAGGTATGAGACATAAAATATTCTCTTAACGTTAACGTATTTAACATTCCTAATTTTCTGTTATTTTTTATGATAGAAATGTTTTATTAATATAATATAGTTGTTGTTTGATTGTAATAAACACTTTAAAAGTCTTTTTTCTAATTTATTTCTCCATATTGTTAACATGAAATTTAATTTAGATAATTGGGATAAGCGATAAGCTAGCCCTGATGACTACGTCACATGTAAGTATTGGAATTCCCGTTCTGACTTAACCGACAAAACTATATCAAATAGGGAGGAAAATGACTCATGGTACAGTAAAACTTTCGTTAAAAAAAGGACAAGAAAGTTTAGCAAATAATTACACACTAATTCAAGACCTAATTTATTTTGAGTAATTTTTATTCTCACCATTATTTCTTGTTTATATAATCTGAAATGGAAATCATAATATTTTTAGGGGTACCTATGTGCATTACTTAACCACTTTACCCTTTGAAATTCATTTTTTGTTGGTTTTACATGCGTGTATTTGTCCAGAAAAATTCTAAAAGTTACTTAAAACACTACTTACTTTTGGCAACATTTACTGATTGCATATTATTATTAGATATAAAGTATTATTATTATAATAGGTTTATTCAACAACAACGTAATCCGGCTAGCAACTTGATCCCATGGTAGCCAAATACGAGGGGTTCTACTGTAATCAGTTCTTTTTAACAGCATGCCATGTGCGTAAAACTACAGCTATCAGAATTTTTCTTTTGTTTAAAATTTGTTTACCAGCATGATTTATTCATAAGATACAAATACATGTATACATATGTTTATAATGTACACAATTTTTTACTTAAAAATTTACTGTTCTTTAAAATCTGCATTTCTACAAGATAATGTACGTAGGCTAAAAGGCCAAACCTCGTCTAAATTATTATAAGTATATTTTTTTCAATACATTATTTCATTGAGGCCATGCGTTTCTAAACTTCAAATTTTTAGTTTATGAATTTTAAATTTAGTTTAAAACTTTACAAATTGACTAAGAATAATTGATTCAATATTTCAAACACACGCCATAAATCAAATGGATTTCACTGGTTGCAATTGTACTGGCATTTTGGTTTGGACAAGAAATGGGAATGAAACACCTGGTTTAAGTTAAGAGCTAAAATTAGAAAAGAATAGCCAAGGTGCCTAGGCCAATGGCTGGGCTCGTGCCAGTGAGTCCATTGTACCAGGCCTAGGTCAGTGATGGCCAGCATCCGGGAAGCAATAAACCAGCTTTTCAAGCAAGGTTTGTTATTCACTACTTTTATAATTGATTTTGATTTAAAATAGGATCATAAATTGTATTAATTGCATTATCAATTTAAAAACCCTAAACTATTTAAGGTACCTATGTTACTAATTTACTGTGGAGGAAAAAAACATGGAAGAACACTTTGAACATGTTTTTTTTTTAAAGTTGGAAAAAATGTGGATATAGTTTTGTAAACTTATAAAACAACAACCAAAACAATAGTCACAAGGGGATTTTCTTATTACCGTTACCAATAGGAGTTAATGCACACAATATATTTTAGATGATTTTAATATTGTTTGCAGGCCAAAAAATGTTTTTGAAAATTAGAAGATTTCTCTGTAATATTAAAACTGTATTTTCTCTATGTCTGTAACCTATTAATTCTAAAAATATTTTATAAAATGTATTTCCATGTTTGTTATTTCTACAATGAAATAGCTTCATAACTCAATTATAAAACAGCCAAAGCCAACATACAGTACTTGGTATCCAATGGATGGCACAACATTTGTTTCTTAAACATATGGTTACTTGTTGAAAGCTTAACACGTGATTTAAATAAATTAAGAGTTGCCAAAAATAGCAATTTCTGGTCCATCCTAAAAAAAGCGTCTTTAAATCATCAATTGACAGTAAAAAAATGTTCGTTTGGCTAAAAAACCGCATCTAAAATTATAAAAGGCAAAGCCCTCACTGACTCACTCACTCATCACTAATTCTCCCACTTCCCATTTACCTAGGAGGCTGAAATTCGGTACACCGATTCTTTGGGCATTAAATAGGAAAACTAAGTAGTTTTTATTCTCATCGGGCTTTCGGGCTCCGCCCCAGTGGCTCTGGAGTTTCCCATGTTAATCTTATGATTTTTCATATTTAAAAGGAATTAATGAATCTTAACAGCTGTCTCAATTAAACAAGTTGGTTCTGTTCTATATGTTCAATAGCATTAAAGTTACAAGGATTACCAACAGGGTGCAGCACTATTATTTTTTTTATTTATGACAACAGCTAATTTGCAACCATATAAGGTGAGTGAGCGTAGCGAACGAACTTCAACCTGGAGGCGAGTTAGCGTAGCGAAAGAACTAACCTGAAGGCAGCGAACGAGCTCCAACCTAAAGGTGAGTGAGCGTAGTGAACGAAGTTCAACCAGGTCGTGATTGAGCCATGCAAATACTTAAGGAGTTAAACGGGGCAAAGCCCGCGGGTACAGCTAGTATATTTTATAAAAGTATTTTTTTACAAGAGTAGAACTCCTATCCATAGAGTGGTATAAATTACTTCTAGGTAGTTATTTCCCGTGTTGATTCACTACTAAACAATATACAATAATATTTTAAAATCAAGTTCTAAAAAAAGTTTATCCAGGCATATCCGTATAAACTCTGTCCATCCAAATCATTAACCATCCATAGAGTAAGTTTTATGTAGCCAATGTGAATATGAAATTATATTGTCAGGAGACTGGCAGACAGCACTTGATGTACAAACTACCTCTGATGACTACAACACAGTATTATGGATACGTCCCACGTTGGCAGACTTGCACTTTATCTATGCAGCTATGAAGTCCCGCGGACTCAACCTTCTGATCAGCATTGGCTGTGGTAGCGGATTCCTGGAATGGGTGCTAGCCTCGGCTACAGGTTAGATGATGTAGGGATAGCCTTAAAGATTTGTTTTTAAAATAATTAATATATTACCACTTTACTAGCTGGTACAGTTTATGAACTGGACTTCCCCACATTGATTGATGGGGGGAAGGGAATTAGATTTATTAGTTTAGGTTGTAGTCTTTAGTAGAAAATTTAAACTGTTGTAAATAAAAAGTCTAAAGCACAACACCTACATAATCTGAGTCCATTGAATACCTAAGTTAAAATTCTTGCAACCCTTATTAGGTATTTCCTAAAGTTAAACGTACTTATTTGGAGTTAGGATGTGGCACCTATAAAATTATTTTTCAATTTTTTTGTAGCCAAGTGCAGAAATAAGCAAAAAATCTGTACAAAAAGCATTCAAAGATAATAACACGTTTTCTCCAATACAATCTAGTTTCAAACAAATTAAACATTTTTTTGTAATCTAGCTTGGCTGCTTGTTTCTATTCCTTGGGTTTTGAAAAAATAATACAGTAACTATCACCTGCGGTAACGAGATTGTGGCGGTTAACTGAATATACTGATAACAGAAATTCCTTATAAATTACTAAATCAATTAGAACCGTTACAGTGATTTTGGAAAGAAATAACGTAGCGTACATTAGAATTACACATACTATTTTACCTACAGTAGGCCTTTAAATACATGCTTATATGAGGTACTGAATATTATTAAGAAGGCCCTACAGAAAAACTTAAAGTAGTGAATACACACTTTTAGGTGATAGATAACTGAGATTGAAAGTTAACTGAAGTTGTACTATGTGTATCTTGATCTCGCAATTATTGTAGCCTAATTTTCAGAGATTGTCGTCTGCATGTAAAGTTCTTCTGGATATTCATCATTCATGTTTTTGTCTTAGGTTTACAGGTGGTAGGTGTTGAACAGGACCCGAACTGGTGGACTTCTCCCTACATCCAGACCTACATTCCTCACATTTACACGGGAGATCCACACTGTTCTTCTGTCTTGCGCCGTCCTCAATCTGCTGTCATGTTTTGTTATTTCAACAATGGCAAAGCATTTCACGATTACTTGACAACATTTGCCGGAAAGTGTGTAATAATTATTGGACCTAAAAGTCACCGGCACACAAATCCACATCCATTCCAACCCTTGTTTGAAAATGACCAATGGATTTTAAAGGAGTACAAACAAATTGGTGATAGCTTTGATTATATTGTGGTCTACGATAAAGTAGATAACTAAGCTAAAGTAGTTATCTACAAAAGCTGGTATTATTTTTCAACAAAACCACAAGGTATATAGGGTAATTTAAGATTGAAGTGTTAGGATTTAAGTCGCTCATAATTCTATTGGGATTTTATTTATTTCATCCGGTTTAGCAATTGTAGACTATTATCTTATTTATGGTAAAATAAGATATTTTTGATTAATTTAGTTTATTTATGCAACAATATTACTGTGCATTTAGCAAGATATTATTTGTAGGATAGTAAAATAAATAAAGCTTTTTTTTATTAATCGTCTAATTTTATACTAATTTACCTCCACACTAATTGATAAACATTAAAAATACCCCCGCTGCAGCAAACCTGCAGACTAAGCGGATTTCCATATACACAGCTGGAATTCCACTAAATTGTTCCCTTAAAATTGTCAGATTTATTTCCTACTAGTGTACCTGTTGCTCGAATTCGAGCAATTGCGAAGCATTACAGGCGACTCAAAGATTATGGAAATACTCACGATCTACACAACAGTTAGATATAATCAATATCTTTTGTAAATATCTTATCTTTTTTCAAAAAGCTTATCTTGTTTTTTAGTGTTTTCTAAAAATTTTCCCCTCTCATAGCCGCATTAGGTTGTCTATGACAACGATTATAAATGAAAAAAAAAATTATTTCTATTTCTTCTTCTTGGTTGTGTTCTATGACTTTTTCCATGTTTCCATTGTTTGCAAATTGATTATTTTGATGATTGCTCAAGAAATGTAGAACAGTGTTAATTCAGTTTTATTTTTAGCCTATATCAAATTGGCCAGGATTTCTCGCTCTTTTCCATTGTAATAATTACACCAACCCAAGTTTCGTCTACAGATGCAATATGCCAACGAATATCACCTACGTACAATCACCAAGAAGTGGTAAAAAAGGCAGAAACCAACCCATACAATAGATATAAGTTAACTCCAAAAGGAATAATTTTAAGAGTTACTGTGATATTAGGATTTTCCACTGATTTGGTAATAGAACATTATATTGCAAAACATGAATCGATGCAGAAGAAAATCCAATTTAAAATCAGAAAAACCCATTGCAAATAGGCTACTGTACTTCATTTTGACAAATTCAATAAATCACAATTTAAATATTAACAGCTGTTTCATTAAAAAGTAATGTAGAATTATGCATATGGCCGTAATGTAAACAAATCTTAAGAGGCAACTTTAAAGGCTTCTGGGGCAGAGCCTCAAGGGAATTTACCTCGTTCCTCTTTTGATGGCTCATCTACAGACCAAGACCTTTCTTTAGATACCCCTACAAAGTTTCTACGCCCAGCCGTTCTCTCAAATTAGCTATGACAAAAACCCCGTTTTCCTCCAAAAGAATAACATGGGATAGGAATTTAAAGGCCACTGGGGCAGAGCCCCAAGGGAATTCACCATGTTTCTCTTTTGATGGCTCATCTACAGACGAAGGCCTTTCTTTAGACACCTCTACCGAGTTTCTACACCCAGCCGTTCTCTCAAAATAGCTATGACAAAGAAAAACAGTTTCAAATTAATATATAGATTTAAACATCATTAATATTAATGAGTACTTAGGTTTGCTGCTACAGGGAAGAAAATAGGGGGGTTTTATTGAAATATTAATAGCTCAGTATGAAGTAAACAAAATTTCATTAATATATGTCCATACACAAGCAAGCTACAACACTGTATTTATTCTCCATAAGAATAACATGGTAATTTTAAATTTACATTATTTTGCGATTTTTCTGTAACCGTTAGGCATGCAACAATGCTTCAATATACTAAATTATTCGTTTTTTTGAGCTCTACAAAATGGTTTAGAAAGAAATTGCAAAATTTTATGTTTTCAGGGTGAAAAATTAGAAAAACCCATTTTTACCCCATAAACCCCTGTTCCCATAGTCCGATCATGCTGGTTCGTGAACTCGTTTGAATAAATGTAGGTTTACATGTTTATACCAAATTTCATCAAAATCGGATCATTTTTGCTCGAGTTATCGCGCTAACGGACACATATATAAATATATATATATAAATAAATATATATATATATGAATTTGAACGGATGGTGTTTTTGGCCTCTGGGGACCTCAAAACGAAAAACTAAATCGGTCCCGGGTCCAGGTCTCACCATGAGACCTACGGTAATAGCTTATTCCCTATATGGGAAATTCGCTAAAACTATTATGCCCAAGGATTTGGGAATGTATTTTGAATAAAAAACTCTCAAGTGTTTATCTTGATATGAAGTACTGGAACCAGCCACAGTGAAAATAATAATAAACTCTTAAAAAGCTAATAAACGGTGTATTTACAATTTTTAAGAACAACTAGGCACAATCAGATTGTGCTGATTGATAAAAATAATTATCTAACCAATCAGAGACATGTCAATATGATCAAAAAGACATGAAACTATTGACAGTAAAAGTATTGCTCTATCACGCACAGGTCATTGTGACTCATGTGATATTTTTATTTGCTACATGATATGCTGCAATAGTTATTTGTGTAACTTAGTGGGCAAAGTGGCACTTTGCTGCACACGAGAGCAATGTTTACAATGATGATCTCGAGTGCATCAAAGGCCTTTTGCACTCGTGTTACACATTATTTTTCCTACAGTCACTATAAAGCATATAAATAATTAGTCTTTCAAACACTATACAAAACGTTTTTAGGTTCAGCTGACAACACAAATAGGTGCCCTAGAGAAAGTAGTACCCGGTCCGTATCACTCCGCTATTTTTCCTCGGCAAGAAATGTGCTCCGCGACTTGAGAATATAGTTCCGTATGTTTTTGTAATTTGAAGTGGTTTCCGCGCCTAAAAAAAATGGTTTAAAGGTATTTTCTTGTTTATTAAGATTGTAGGAATGTTTTAATAAAAGAAAAGTCCATAAAGTTCAGAAATACCGAAACTATAAACACGAAATGACAGGTTAAATCGTAGTTATAATAGTCAATCAGCTGCTCATAGTATTATTATCTTTAAGTGTTGCCAACCTATTTCCAAGCGTACACGGATTACATGCATAATAGAACCACGCTGTTTTGTGTTTCGTTGGAATCCTGATGTGCGCCAAAGTATAAACCGTACGACAAAGTATAAATATGCAGCAATTAGCAGCTTTCTGTACTATAAACAGTATAAGGAAGCCAACTTTGTCGGGTGACTGTAGGAAAAATAATTTGTTGTAAATAAAGAATTTCTCTCTCTCTCTATCTATTGTAACATAGCTATTTCTTTAGTTAGTTAGTTATTAGTCATTATTAGTCATTAGTTATTTTTGGAAGTTGGTAAAATGATTAAATCAGGTGTCCCATAATATAAATTTAATCTTAATAATTAATTAACAAAACAAAATAATATACACCACTTCACACTATTAAATACTGTAGTGCAAGTCCAAAGCAAAAGGATTGCACTAATATTTAGATATCCAAATCTCACTTCTTTGGTTTACTTATACCATTAAAAATTTAACATCACATGGTTTTGAGTCCATTTTCGTAAGAAGTTACTTGTGGCTAGCCGAAAAAAGCCAACAAAAAAATACAGTCCAACCTCAGTATAACGAATCTGAAGGGACCGAACTGAATATTCGTTATATCAAGGATTTCGTTAAAACGAGGTTCGTTATATAGAGGTTAGGTTTGCAGGAATTTCCGCTAAGTCGAGGTTCAGAATTAGCGTCGGTCAACATCGATGGTCAATATAGGTCGGGATTTGACCTCATTAAAATACAGTACAATTAAAGTAGCATAGGCTACACTACTTTACAGTACAGTGTTTACATTGTACAGTAGAACCTAAATTATCCGGCATAATAAAGGGGAGGGATCTTGAATATTGCACAATCATGACAATGGCATTGACCTTGGTACAGGTAAAAAATTGTAAGTTTAAAATCACAGCTTGTTCTAATCCTCCTAAAACCTAGCCAAACACTGTATTGTGTAGTCATAAACCATGTAAAGAACAAAACAAACAGTAGAAAGCTTTGTAAGCTACTGCTCGCGATAGGCCGGTAGGCTACTTACAGTACGGTACTGATTTATTACAACAGAGGAATGTCAATAATAATCAGCATTGGTGTTGCTAGTTGAAACAAATCGTATTGAAAACAATAAATTATTAGATAAGTCATTATAAAAGTGTATAATCATAGCCAACTTTAGGATAATAAAAAAACTCGTAAAAGAAATGTTAAAATAACGATGTAGCTATTCTTTCTCTTTGCTTTTGTGTTTATATTCTTTCTTAGGTTTCTCTTTATCCAAAAATTGTACAATTCCCCATAGTTATCCCATATCGCCCAATCACAGCTTACTAAACATTACGTCGTCATCAGTGAATGAAATCAGTTCTCAGTTGCAACATAGCGCGCGCAGCGACAGCAGACAGAGATGTGTAAAACGGAGCAGACGAATGTTAGCGCAAGCGATGACGTGACCTTTCCATTTCATTTGATAAAGACACAGTTTTTCCCAAAACAATAATTGGGTGGGGGATTTGTTATATCGAGGGAAAGACATAGACAATTCGTTATGCAGAGGTTAAATTCGCTATGTAGAGGTTCTGACAATGATAAATTCGTTATATTGAGGTGTCTTATTTTAGCCGAAATCACGAAAAATTCGTTAAATCAAGGTGGTTGTTATGGTTTGTTCGTTATGTAGAGGTAAAATATACATTGTGTCTTATGGAGAGTTCTAGGGGATTAAAAAAAATTCGTTATATCAAGGAATTCGTTATATCAAGGTTCGTTATATCAAGGTTAGACTGTAGTAATATACAATTTGAAATCACACTTACACATTTTATATCTTTGTGAATCTAAAGACTGACAGTTGCTCACCCCTAACTTTTCGGAACTTCAGCTGTTTTCCAGTGAACCCTTTTTCCATCATATTAACAAGAACTTCTTCAGGATTATTTTCTTTTATAAGTACAAGGTAAAAAAACGATTTTGGAGAAAGGTGTGGATTCATCTGTTCAATCAATCTGAAACATGAGAACGAAAATCAAGGGCCTGAATTATTTAAAGAACACACAATATAAAAAGCCAAGAATCATCTTTTTTGTTTGTTTGGAAATTGGACAGTTGTAAGTTAGATAGCCATAAGTATATGCTCCCACCGTATAGCCACCATCGGCTGAGTTATTATATCACAGAGCACACTAAGGCCTAAAATGGTGCTGACAATTTAACTTTGGTACTCAGAACCGTACTTTTCCCTAAAACCGGTAATGAGAATTTCCTTTCAGGCACCGACGCATCACAAGGTGCACCTAATGAACAATTTTTAAACAAATATTTTGGTAGGCCCAGGCCTACTTTATTTTTTAGCATGGCCATAAGAACACTCGGACCTTATGATGCACCACAGTTGCTCAATCAAATGTGTCAGCTGAAAAAATTAACCTATTGCTATTGGCACCCTTAAGGCGCGTTTACACCAATGTTGACAACTAAAAGTTGACAACCAAAAGTTTAAAACTAAATGTTACTCTTAACAAATTTGAGAAACTAGTGGAAGATTTTTTGTGGAAAACCAACAGTTACTCCTCTTTAATTTAGAGCAACTAGTGGAAAACTTGTAGCCAAAGAATTAGTGCAAAATAGTCAGTAGAGTAAAGGGTGTCGGAGCCCTTTATGAGAATGACCAGTAGTGATTTTGAATATTTCATTTCAATGATCGGACATAAAGTCAAGAAACGTGACACAAACTACAGGAAAGCCATACCTGTCCAAGAAACTTGCCGCAACTAGTGGAAAACTAAGAGGAACACTTTGATGTATGATAGCAAACAAACAGGATAAAATATTTTCCTTGAATAACTACAGCCATTCTTGCGTACACGCAACAGTTGAATATGTATTTACCTGTCAATGACCAGTCTCCCGTTAGCTCCACCTGCCCAAGATCTCTGGATAGAACCTGCTATCTCGTCATCGGGTGTGACAACGTACGGAGGGTTGAATATCAACACATCAATCACACCACACGCCTTGACACAGCTTAACAGATCTCCTTGCACCACGTCTACCTGCAGATGAGTCAACTTGCATTACTTAATATTTGATTGCTTTTTAAAACAATAAAACCTGAAAGGAATACATTTTTAAAAACTAGGCCTACCTGAGATTAGGTTAATGCAAAACATAACATGATCTATTTTACTAATTTATTTTAATAATGAAATATGGTCAACCAATGGAAAATGCAGAACAAAATAATTACAAGAAAAGTAACAGCATGTCGTAAACAGCAACAATTGTTTATGATGCAGGAACTTACCTACGGATAGATTCTTAAATATTCGCCAATCCTAAACTACGTACAACAGGTTATAAAAAATTCAAAAATTATAAAAGAATTAACCGTGCAGCAAAAACAGAAAAAAGTCTAAGAGTGTATAAAAAACAAAAAAAATATTAATTTGATTTTAAAAGGAAACAAAGCTTACTGATCAAATAACCTACAGAACAATTAAATCACAAATCAAACTAGAAAGTATCTCAACTAAATATCTCAAATATTTAATTAACAGAAAAGATAAATCGGTTGCATGGTTCAGAGAATTTGGTTTCAAAATTATTACTTAGCTTTAAATATTCATCTTACCTCAACAGAATTCAATGTTGATGTTTCCTTTGTAACCGCACAGGCGCTGTTGTTTATATCGATGGCGAGGCAGAAGGCAGAGGTTCTCAAAACGTTGGCTAAAGCAGTGATTATAACACCAGAACCACTTCCGATCTCCACAATGACTTTAGGACAGAGTTCGCGAATGTTATGAAGGTCTTCCTCCAGGGCATCCAGCAGCAGGAAACTGTCTTCGGCCGGTTCATAAACATCTGATGTACTTTCAAAGTTCCACTTGGGTGTTTCCATTGCTTGCTGTAAGTGTAACGGATGGTGTAGTTAATTATTTATAAATAAATCACAATTATTATGTTTTGAAAATTGTAGCCTATTAACAAAATTGGGATCAAAATTAGAAAACATGTATCTAATCTATTTAAGGGAATATCTTTGTTAGAATGGATACCATGAGTTTACATAACAGGTTCCTCAAGCAAGGTGTTTGAGCATGTAAACATTTTTTGTCAGCTATCCAGTTCATACTATTTAATTTGGACCTGTCTCGTTATTAATTAACTACTAATTTATTTATAATTCTTAAAAATCAAAATGTTGGTGTGCCTAGGTACCAAATTTCCATTCACATGATACCTTCAAATTAAGGGTCTGACTTACGGGAGGTATAAATGAGGCATATTAGTTCAAAATTCCTACAAAACAGCGCTGTAGTAGAGAGCACTTGGCTATAATGAAGGTTTATTAATCGAAAAAATAGTTCATTTCATAAAATAAAATTATAAATGCCTCAATTCAATTTTATAATCTTTTTATTATAAAATTAAACTGTCATAACCTTTTCATAATAATAAAAAAAAATTGTTCTGTTCATAAAATAAAACTAGAAATGGCTCAAATTCAATTTGATAATGTTTTAATTATAAATTAAACTGTCATAACCTAACCAAACTTGCTGATAATGAAAAAAATATTCGACAGAATTTTTAATGCTACCGATGGAATTCGAACCTGGGACCTTCAGCTTATCAGCCCGGCACGCTATCCATTGGACCACCGAGGCCGATGGCTCCACACCGTATCGTTGTGGTAATGGTGTTCCCTCAGCTAATCAGAAGCCCACAGCTGTCATCGTAGGCTCATATATACCTCCCTTGAGTAAACACCTCAAATTAAAGAAGTGGTACGTGATACGGTAGGTTAGGTTGGTTTAATTAGTCAGACGAAGCACATGGTAATGTACCACTTTACTATTACATATGGGCGTGGTATACCAAAGCTGGAGTATATATATAAAGATGTTTGTTTTTGTTAACTTTCTTCAATAGTTTCAAAAAGTCTTATCATTTAACTCAAAGCCATAACAAACTGTCATGCCCATGAACCAATCTTGTAAATCTAGGTGGAATTTTATGTGGGTGTGTTGCTAGCCTGACGGTTAGTGTCTCGGACTTTGGATGCGGAACTTTGTGCACGACCCCCAGCACGTCCACAAAACTTTAATGGGTTTGGTTGGACCGCTTTCCAAGTGCAAAATCCTTTGAAACCAATTGTTTGCTTTGAATTGACTTAAAAATGCCACTGACGTCGAAAAAATGTCTTAGTTGGAAAACTAATACTTACGGGGCTTGTTCTGAAATTATAGTGTTTCTCCAGAACTAGGTTTGGATGTAGGTTCCATTAATGTCTTAAGCCGATCAGCTTCCTGCTTACTGTGTTGCTGGATTTTATGTAGTCTTTCCTATAACAAAATCAGAAGTTTATAATTCACCCTTTACAGCTTCAATACAAAAAATGATGTCAATTATGTTTTTGTTTGCATGTAGGCCTAGATGAAAAAAATAAACACGCAATTACAACAAACTGTTCTGAGAACTATTAAGTGGAAATAAACGGTATCAGCAATTCGACATATACTTTCTCCCATTAGTTTATCAACAACCCTTTTGGTTAAGCGGTGGGAGTAACTATGATATTTATAGGGAGAATCACTGAAGTTGCAATAACTCTTAAATTGCAATTTTTACAGCACTGTTTTGTTCAGAGTTAAAAGGACCATATTGTTAAGGACTAAATTGTTAAAGCCGTTTTTGTGAAAATCCACCTTTTATATTATTTTATTCAAAAAACCCCCAGAAGACACCACTACCAACATACCAAATTTCATCAGTCTGTAGCTCTGAATGTGACAAGTGCCGCTATAAGTACACTGGCGCTTGCAGGTGAGATTTAACAAACTAATGTCCCTAGCCTACCCGGGCATAGAAGTGTTAAAATAATTCCTAACAGAGAATACAGAGAATACAAAGAAAGCAAAACGTTTTCCTATTCTCCAGAAAATAAAAACAAAACAGCCTATATGCTTGTCAAATCTGTTAGGCAACAATTCGGTACCGTAGTTTATGTTTTAGACACAAAAGTTTTAAATTCAATTCTTCAAAATTAGCAGCTAACTTTGTAGGTATTTAATAAATTAAATATCAAGATCAAAAAGGTATACATTAGGCAACTAAAAATGGTATGAACCTTAAATTTCAACAAATCTAAACATTTTAACATTTTAACATTTGTGAAACTAATGGCTGGATATACTTGTATTTAGTTCACTCACAGGTTTTCTAAGCGGTTCATGTCAGTCAAAGCTAAGCCAATAAAAAACTAATGTAATAGGCTTCAGACCATTTACCTGAGCAGTCTGCAAAATGTTGCTTATGACAGTTATCTTATGACGAGTGCTATTAAGTTTATTAGTATACGCTTCTAGAGCAAGAGGGCAGCTTTGCTCTGCTGAAATATTTTTCAACTCTTCAGAAAGATCATCAATCTGTTGCTTTAACTCCAGCTGACTTACTCTGTAACAAAGTAACACATGTTATATCCTGTTTGGAAGTAAGATTATAATCCTATAATAGCTGGGTATGAACATAGACAAAAAGAAATAAATATAGACTGTCAGCTGTGCTGCGGTTAGCGTATATTCCGGCGCCGACCGCTAGGGGTAATACACCGCTGCAGCATCAAGCGCTAGCGACCGTTTCCATAACAACTTGGTAGTTGGGAGTAGTGTTGCCAACTTTGGAGGAATTCCCCGGAATTAGAATTTACTGACTTATTTAATATTTAATATAGTAATTTATTGTATTTTTTTAAACGTATATTTGTTATACTTTTGTAGTTTCATTACAATGATTCAAAGTTTTTCTTTATTAATCCATAATATTTATTAGGAAGTGGTTTATTGGAAGATTTTGTTTTATATTTGCAAGGTCAAAAACTAATTAACTAGGGTGTCTAGTAGTCGGGGAAAACGGGAAAGTCAGGTATTAGTTTTGAATTTCAAAATGGTCTTGAAAAGTTGGGATTTAGTCTTTATTTTGATATCAAAGTCGGGAAATTTAATGATTATATCGCGATCGTGCTGGACAACGATCACGTTTCCGTGATGGCGCAAGACGATGATGGTGTCTACACGACCGCGGGAGATGTTCTTAAACTGCGACTGTGCTAGACGTTTTTGTGACCGCGGTAAAAAATGATCGCTTTTCTACGATCGCGCAAGACGATAATGTCTACAGTACACGGCCGCTGAAGATGTTCTCAATTTTGCCGCAATCGTGGACGATGATGACGTTTCAGGACCACGGCATTCAATGATGTCTACACAGCCGCGGAGGATGTTCATGATTTTGACACGATTGCAGAAGACGATACTAGCGATAGCCTATAGTAAGCATTTAGTTTGCAAGAGTGGTAGTGCTAGTTAACAGCTGGCAACGATGAAACCAAATAGAATACCGATAACCGATATCGAACGGCGATAACGCTCTAGCGGCAGATCGCAAAACCTTTCTTTGACAGTCTATATTTACTCTATTGTCTATGGTATGAAGTAGCCTATAATAGCATCGCCCAATCTGTTATTTGTGAAGAAGGCGATAGATTCATTCTGACAAAACAAGACTGATAAAGCAAGGACTAATTAATAGGAATGTTGAAAGAAAAATGTTGCTCAACCTATTTAAAGTTTAATTAACATTACTGGAGCTATCAGCTTTAAGATTGATTATTTTATTCTTCCCCATTGTACATAGGTACATACAACAAAATGTTCAAAGTAACTAAGTTAAGTTATTTAAGTTAATTTAAACTCATCACCATAAGAGTAAAATAACAAAGATGAAGGGCTTCACCATTTTTAAATTAACGCAAGTATCGGTACTTGTAAATGCACAGTACAAACCTGGTAGCACGAACCCTCTCATCTAGCTGGTCGATTGTAGGTTTCAGGAGACACATCAAACCTTCTGCCAAAGTGTCCCGTATGGGGTTTTCACAAAAATCCTCAGTTTTGTCATCAACAGATGTGTTGGTGCTGATTGTTTCCCCATCCATTTGTTAAAATTAAATTACTGAAGTGGGTTTTCTGCAACAAAAGTTGCGGCCTGGAGTTAAAGGTGGCCGTGACATAACGGTGAAATGTTTATAGCCAAATCGCACTATATCTTTCTCTATTCATTATTCTCTTAAATTCTTTTAACAGAAACAGTACCGGTACCAGGAGGAATTAGGATTCCTGCTTCCTTTTTTATTTTCAGCGGTGACAAACTTCAGGCATTTGCAGTTAGCCTGCATAATTTTACATTAGGCCTAGGCCTACCGGTATCTTATTAAATCATTTTTTAAATCCATGCACTTAAAGAGTACCTAACTTAAGTTATTTAATTTACTAGATTTAAATAAATGGGATGTAATAAAACTAGGCTAATGTGTACTGCAGACTTAACTTTAAGTTTTGTTCTAAAATATCAGAATCAACGCAAACATACACAATGAAGATGTGTTAGCTATTTGGGTTATAGCCTAAAAATAAAAACGTACGGTAAATTCTCTTCCGACATGAATAGGATATGTCCAGGTTGGTAAACAGAAAAGTTGGACAATACATTTATAAACATGGTAAAAATCGGCTGCACTTTAGTATCTGTTCCAACTTCCCTGCTCATTTGAATAAAAAATATCGTTGTTCAGATTATTCGATAACTTATATCTATCGATAAGTAGGCTATATTAATTTGAATCAGTGTAGGACAGATACTTAAGTGCAGACTAAAAATAAATAAATAGTCTCAGTGTTGCAGCCACTCAGACACAGGTCTTTGTAGAGAGGTAAATTTAGCAAAAAATGTATTTCTTATGCAAGTAGCTTCAACTGTATGAGGAATTTGGCAGACTAAATTATGAGGTATGCAACGTGCTAAAACAAATCCAGAAATCACAGTCAACCGAACGTAGGGAACATGAACACATGCAGATTGTTAAATGTGGTAACTTAAAAATTGTTTTGGTTTTTTTAGGTGCCCAAAGCACAGCGTGGATCTTGTACTAAGTTAGTAAAGACAAGCGAGGCAAGATCTTGCTAGTGTTCCGAGTTCCTCCCTACCTCCTACAAATGATCAAGTCCTAGGCTACCTCTAGAACCATTTAACTTATTGCTTATTGACACCACCAAGGATCAGCATCCCTATATAACTTCTCCGGTATGCACAGGGATAGATCCTAGTCTCCGATCTTTGGAACGTGCCTTACGACAGTCTGCTAAGACTCGAAATGCCAGATGAGACCCACCTCGTTGGTTACGCCAACGACAAACCATAGACTAACACCAAAAGCATAACCTTACGAAGCTAACATTATCAACTTTTAGTTTTGAATAGGCTATGAAGGCCGTAGGGTAGGCTATTCAAGATTTAATTTTATGGTTAACTATCTTCAAATAAGTTAGGTAGGCTAAGTGTATTAATATAAAAAGTTCTAAAAAGCCTTGGCTCAACACAACCTAATATAATGATCATTAATTAATTCACAATTATTGAGAGTTTAAGTTATAGGCCTAAATTATTTAGCAATTAATTAATGTACCAGTATTGAAACAAATATATAGACATGGTGGCTAATGGTTTTTTTTACGTTTGAAACAAAACTCCCACCGATAAAACATCTAAAACTAAAGTAAGTAATTGTTTAATGGCAAGCGAATAAAATGAACATTTCACCTCACCTTCACGTTCACATCACACAAGACGCAACACAACACAACATGACAACTGACAACTAGAACTAACAGACAACAAAGAACAAAACAAACAAAAAACTCGAATCGAAATTTGTTGTAGGTAACGAGGTAACCCGACCAGTCGGCTTGTTCCCATTGGTTATAATCTGATCATCACGTTCCGTTATGCTGCAGCCCACAGTCGGCGCAGTCATCATTCATCAAGGGCGGGTGTCCACGTCCACAGACCACAATCACAGAAGGGAGTTACCACTATTCTTGGAATTGTCGACGGGGAATCGCAGCTCCTGGTAAGTCCATTTGAAACAATGGCACTATGGCAGTCGCGCCTATCGGTGTCCACGGACCACGTGTTAAATTGAAAAATTTATTTTCAATTTAAATATTGTTTTGGTTTTCAATTCTATAGCCTATGTTTTATTTTCAATCTTTCGATGAATTTATGTTCATAAATTTTAATTTAAATAAATAATACGCGAAATAATGAGCTGGTAACGGCTAAAATACGGCTGTCGGCATGTTATCTTATGGGACATATGGTGCTAGAGAGCATGTTTGATCAATCCTATTATGATATTGATATTACCATAAACATAGTCCATAGACTATGTACTAACCAGTGTAACCAACTCAACCCTCCTACAGGCTATACTTAGCCATAGATGAACTAACATATCAGTTTATTTATTTATTGCTATTTTTATTTATTACTATTGTTATTTATTACTATTATTATTCAACACCTAGTTCAACAAATTGCCATGGCCATACAGAAAGGAAATGTTGCCAGCATCATTGGTTCCACACCCACAGACGACGACCTTTCATCAATATTTTATTTGTAAAATTAATGTAAGAATTAAATTTTGTCTATTTCTCTATTTCCAAAAATAATACAATATGGAATTAAGGACAGTTACACTATTAAACACTCAATTAAATGTTATATAACGGAAATTAACCCTTCCAGGGCTAAATTAAATGAAGGGCTGGAGCTTAATTATTATTATTCAATACTGCCATATTATTCATTACTATTGTTATTTATTATTGTTATTGTATTTATTACTATTGTTAATAATAATTACTGTTATTATTATTTTTGTTATTTTTTATTATTGACTACACAACTATATTCAATGTTAACTATTTGCAAAGATTTTTCATTATTATTTGCTCAGTTTTTTGTGTTTTCGTTTGTTCTTGTTGTCAAGTTATTCCTATTATACTGGTTATAGCTATCAAGGAAGAAGTAAAAGGAGAAAATCAAACGAAACGAATTCAAAATGTTGTTGTGGCTTCTTCTGGCTTGGCATTCTTGGCTTGGCAATGTGGTTGTGATTTTCAATTCAAAACAAAATAAGTGGATTTTGTAAAAAGATATTTTTTACGTTAAACAAGGTAGACCTACCTATATATCTAAGTCCTAAAAGTAACTTAGGTACTATTTTACATCACTGATAAGAATCCTGAGACACATTAAAATGGAATTTGGAGATTACCAAGGTAATAATTTTAAGCCTTAGCTTTTGTATTGGCTTAAGTTAGTTGTGGTAATAGGCCTAGTAAAATATAGGTCGTGTAAAAGAGTATCTGAAAGAGCTTTAGAGAGACAAATTTAGAGATATATTCCTTGGCAAACATATAAGTTAATAAAGCTATATTAAGTTGAATTGACCAAAATATGCAGCTCAAGGCTCATTCTACGTGAATTTCGCGAGGGGACCTTCGTGTGTCTGCGCCAACATTTTGTGCAAATTACAAACCTGTCAGGCAAGGTGGTTCAGACACGGGATGGACACGGTGGAGCTCGGTTGTATAGCTGGGGTTGTCCAAATCCAGCTATTCGAACTGCTGAGAAAGAAACATAAGAAACCTCTAGGCCTAATCGCCTCGATAGTGGACACATCCGACGTTATCAAACAGACTGACAAGAGAGACATTCAATGTCATCTTTAATGACCATCGGAGGTACAGTAGGCTACCCGGACAAGTTTTTCTAGTTTTGGTGAAAACCTCCCAGTCTTCGCTTTGCCAATTTCATTCCAATATTTTGGCCTTTATCTCTTGATTTGAATAATCGTCAGTCTTGACACTACCTACGAGTATACAGTGCAGGCTAAGCCTCTACTGTATCTCACAAATAAACTTCTCTGTGTCGAACATCACACTGCACCTTCCCAACTGGACAATAATTAAGATATAAATTTGAGCTGCCACCTCCAGTAACTTAACATGAACATCGCTAGATGTAGAATGGCTGGGTGGGATTCACCCAGGTTTGAGACAGTCGTAAATGTCAACTGCATGACCCTGCCTCCATTCCCCACTTGCGTCATGAATCCCGCTTGTATAGACACGCCAATTTAATGCGATGATCCCTGTCAAGCGCGAGGGCCCCTACATGGGAATCCCGATATTTCAAATATTGGATGAATCTTTAAAATATAACACAAACCTAGTTAACCTAGGTCAACCTAGTTTTCAATCAAAGGAACTACCACACCCTTCAAAAGCAACTTTAAAAAATTCTAATTTTTTCAGATCCTAATGAGCAAAATCCTGTTTTACTATTTCAACCTTTTGCATCAAAGCAAATTTTGCTACCAGATGAAGTCAACTGCATGTTTGTTAAAACACTTCTCAGGATGTGCAAAGTGAACTATGAAGTGAAAGAAACATTGAATGCTGAAGATATGTCACCTTCAAGTACTATAGGTAAGCACTTATGGATATTGCAATGTGCTCAAAGGAGCAATCCAACCGAAAAGTGTCCAATAGATTCAGAGCTGTAATACGATAATTTGTTATTGGATTTTAGTATTGGCTCTTATACTGAAATACAAGCAGTAGGCCGACGGTAACGTTTACCAACCTTTAAATGTGAAATAGTAAATAATATTTTTTTCAATCATCTACAAAATGAATAACTACAATAGGGATGGCAATTAATTTTTGTTTTTGTCACTTGTTATTGCTCAACAATATACTTTGGTTGAAATAACAGTATGCAGAACAATTGCTTAGGGTTGTAGTACCCTAGTAGTAGTTTTATCAATCTATAGTTGGGTTGAAATTAAAAACTTCAGAAATGAGAGAACATTTTTGAGTCCTGTGTTGTATTGATAAATAATTTTCAAATGTGATACACATAACTTAAAGTTAAAGCCGGCTCCAGACATGTGCCATTTGCAAAGCACGAAATATTTCATGTTTGGCAATCTAGTTGTCTTGCAATTCGCCGATTAACGAGCAGACGTCTACATACATGTGTTGTATGTTTTCCAAGCAACTGTTTGTTTACTTTGATGTGTGCAAAAATACCAACAGTGAACAGGAAAACACGAGCATGATGAGCATTTGCTGCTTGCCTAATAGACAAACACCACACTATAGTAATACCATAAACAAAAGAACCCTGGGCCGTTTCGAGCCGCGCAGGTTTGAATGGTACGCCACACCTACCTGCGCGAACCATGTGATCTTTTCGTTTCTGCGCAGGTTGTTTTGTTCTTGGGATATCTATACTCACGATTTGGCGAGTCGCTGCTTGGTGCTTGGCGAATGGCGCAAGTCTGGAGTCGGCTTTTTACTGAAATGTTAGGTAAATGAAAGATTTTAAATTAACTTTTTAAATATTTTTTAGGAAAAGTTCCATTTATTAAGTGTGGTACTATTCTAGTATCAGATGTGGAAACGATAACAAGATTCTTTCAGGTAAGTTGATTTAATTTGTTTTAATGTATTCCTGTATTGATCGCATAAGTATTTCCTAATTTCTATTTTCAACAGAGATTTTCATGCATATATTTTATCATAGGCTATGGATTTTGTTATTCCAATCAATAGCTCTGTGTGTTTTTTTTTAACAGGAATTATTTCTGAAATCATGGACCCTTAGTGTTTAATATTTGATTGTAAATAATTAGGATTGAATCAAATATATCTGCTACCACGGTACTTGGGTTGAAATAAGCACCTAGGTGGTGCACCCATCTCAAATAAATAATTTATAATAATTTGTCAAATTAATGTTTAAACACAGATTAAAACCCAGAATACAGATTAATAACTGTGGAATTTCATTACCTACTCCTATGCTGGTAGAAAGTACTATGTTGATAGACAAGATCGGCTTCTACATATTTTTTTTATGATCTTGGTGGAATCAGTGGTTACAAATAAAATCTCGATGATTAATAAGTTTTGCATTAATATTAACCAATTAAATAAATTCAGCCAGTAACTGATATAAGACTATATATATTGACATCTTTGTTTTAAATTAGTTTAAAAAAGTATGCTAACTAATAGTTGAAAGTACAGTTTGTGAAATAACACGCAGTATTGAAACCAAAGAAATAATTATAATACACTCTTACTGTTTGTTTTGGTACACACTATATGTAATGCAGATGGGCAACTTGACTTCTGCACCGTTTTCATAGCAAGTTACAATGAAGCCATATGTATGTATTGTAAGTTTATTTGATTTGAAACTTTGAAAGTCCAGTCTTCCTGAATATTGCACTCAGCATTGAGGCTGAAAAGTCAGTAAATAGACCAACACAGAGAGTGTGTCAGTAGAGTGTTTTGACATTTGAGAAACGGCCTACTATAAGATTTGTTTGTTGAAGGGAAAATCACCGTCAAGACACTTGGACGTTTCCTCACTCAATGACATGAAGGTGTACACTTCTCTGTTGACAAAGCTCTTTAATGCTGAGGTAGGTTTTTCAGTAGAACCTTTAGTGTCACAGTCACATAAAACCTGTGCAATAAAAAAAGCCAATTTGCTTGAAGTTGGAAAGTAAGATTCTATCTGGAGTATTTGCAGTGATGGAAAGTTTGTTTGGTTGCCTTGAACACATGCAACATACGGGATGCTTCTAGGTTGCCAGAGCTGTTCTGGCAAACAATCAAACATACATCTCTATAACTGGAGGGTGTTGATTGTTGTACATTCTGGGTTCTTAAAAGTAAATACCTTTACATCCTAAACAAAATTACTATTTTACTAGTGGCTTGTATGGGCAATAGCCCCTATTATTCTAGTTAGTATTTTGTACAAATTATTAGTCTCATGGGTTATCCTCTACCTTGAATTATTGTTTAACATTTTTATTTGTTATAACATGTAAGATAGTTAGTCATTACATAGCTGCATAAAGCGTTTTGATGTCTGTTTTGTTTAAAATAAAAATTCCAAAGGACGTCAACTTTTGTGAAGGTGTACTTTTGTGAATTTCCCTCAAAATTCACGTCAAGACCTTTAAAATAAGACCCCTCCCATCCTTCTACGGCCATCCAGTCACTCACAATTTCTTTACAAAAATTTGACTTACGGAATTATATATATTGATATCAGTACTCAGGGTGTTAATTAGGCCTCGCGCTTTATTTATAGTAACAGCGATTTTTTTAGAGAAAATTTAAACTCGGATTGGTTGATATTAGTTTTATTTTTGGCGTGAAAAATATGTTCCCTTTGCCTACTCTAGTAATTCATTCTAACTTTACACTATTTTCGGACATGCCTAACACAACCAATCGTTCTCCATTAACTAATCCAGACCCTTAAAAACGGGAAAAAGTATATTTAAGCTGTATACGCAGTAAAAAAAAACAATAACAATCAAATTAAAACAAATACATACTAATTTGACAGCTACAATCAGGTGGGTGATCTTTTGTTTGCAATCCGCGTGACGTCAGAATATGACGGGAATAGCACACCTATGTTTTTTTCCTTCCACCATGCACAGTACATATTACAAATTACCATATGCTTTGAATAAAGTTAAACCACATGTTTTAAAGTAAACAAAGCAGACATGGCTTAGATTCCCGTGCTATTCAAATGTGAATTAATTTATTCCGTAATAACCTTTTGGTGCATAATTAAGAAAAATGAATAGTTTTCCCTCAAAATTCACGTCAAGACCTTTAAAATAAGACCCCTCCCATCCTTCTACGGCCATCCAGTCACTCACAATTTCTTTACAAAAATTTGACTTACGGAATTATATATATTGATATCAGTACTCAGGGTGTTAATTGCTTCAGAGGTCTCCATAGCTTGACTGAAATAAATGCTACCGTATGTGTTTAAGAACAATCTCCGCATGTTTTAACAGTGTATTTTTAAACCTTTGTTGTCGTTGCATACGTTCTTGAGTATGTACAATCTTTGTGTCACCCTTTTTTTCCTTTTCACCATTTTGTGTTGCATCTTCAGGGTATCTTAATTAATCTTTTTATCAATAACACTATTTATAGTACCTACAACATTTACGTAGGGTTGATCAGACAACACGACGAGGTACATGCAGTGGTCTCACGGTGGGAGGTCTTTCTTTCTTCCTTCTTGACTAAGGTAGTTGGTTTTGGGCTGTGTGTCAAGTTAAGGGCAGAACTTCCCTGGTTGATGGTCTGGCGGGTGCTTTGATCTTTCAAGTGTTGCTAGTTTGTCAATGTGTTTTCGTGTTGTTTTGTTAGTTTCAATGTTGTGTATTAAGTTGAAAATTTTAGAGCTCGGGTAGTCACAGCAAATTTCTCTATGTAAGTAGCTATTAGTGATGGTCAAAACCAGACATTTTGAATCTCAAAACCGAAACCGAAACTTTAAAAAATCTAATCCCGAATCTTGAATTGAACCTAAATGCGAAACTCTTTTACTTGTTAATGTAATGTAATGTGTAGGTAAAGGTGCTACAAAGGTTAATGTTACCAAAAATACAGGTAATGATAAAATTCAAAACAATATATTTTTTTATAAACAACTAACATAAACATGGATATTAAATTAATTGGAACATTTAGGGGTCAATATTTCTTTGAGTTTAGTTAACATTATTATGAAACAGAATTTATGTTCTTCCAGTTATTGAATTTAAAATTCCTTTTGAAGTTCAGAATACAATTTACTGTTTTCATCACTGTTAATGGTAAATCTATTTGCTCTATTGCTACCAGCTTATGTGGAGTCAGTGTTAAAAACAATAATAATGATGCAAATTCCTGTGTATTTTTGTTTAGGCGGGTGTTCAATCAATGCATAGGGTGACACAGACATCTTACCTACTCTAGAACACAGGCAACGACAATATAATCTAATATAAACATAGTTTTGATGTAACCTAGTTAAACGTGGATTCTGTTGCAGCTGTACCTATGCTGGATGGATGAAAGAATCTTCACAACTTACACCAAGGTGAGGAGTGGCTTCAAGCGGCCTTTTCCTCTAGACTGGGTGCTCACCTCACGGAAGTATAAGCAAGTCTCCAAATATCTCGACCGCTTTCATTTAACCACCGGAGAGGTTTGTACATACTACTGGGTTGCGGCCTGGTCTGTGCCACGGTTTGCATGTGACTGTATGGGCGTATGGGCGTGAGAGTTAGTTGCGCCCTCCTCTGCCTTCCGTTAGGGTGACTAGGCCTGGTATAATAGTAAGAAAATTTATCTCTTGGCTAAAATATTGCCAACACTATTGTTTTTTTTACAGATAAATTAAAAGGTGTCTTCCCCTCAATACTACTCAATATATTAATTTAGCCCACACTTAATTCCTTATCTATTTACAAGAGAGTATCCTAAATGTGCCGTTGCCGGATGATTCGATCAGGAAGTCTTGCCATGACTCTGCCGCGTGTCCACTGTAGTTTTGTCCCATCGACCCAACTGCGATACTAGTGACGGTACAAGTGTAAATATTTTTGTTAATGCAATACTATAATGTCAGTGATACGTATGAGTAAGAAGACCCCTGAAGATGCCACACAAGGTGGAGAAATTCATAGGGTGTGCCAAAGGCATGGATTTAATAAATTATTAATAAATGGTAGCTGATTGAATTTGATTTTTGTTTTGGACTCATAATTGTTACAATAGAATAAAAAAGTGTATGAAATAGTATATTACGTTACTAGTCCTGAAAATAAGTGTTTACCGGACGTCGAGTACGGGATTACCATACGAGTCCGGTAAACACATTTTGGACGAGTGACGTACGATAGTTTACGCTATACTACTAAATCCGTTCAAATCTTTATATATTATTACCACCAACTAAAGGACTAACAATCACTAGTCATAACCTCTAAGAGAGGTTATGTTTTTTTTATAACCACTCATTGCCACCCAAATATAGTATAATCAGCTGATTGGTGTCCGATAAAACTCATTACAGTACAGTAGTACGCAATGAAACCCCATTTGATTAAGCTGGCAACAAACAGCTGTTTTCTGGACTAAATCCTTGCATGGGAAGTTCGTCAAAATAGTGTAGTGTGGCGTAAAAAAAAAAAAATTAAACTAAGTTATTTTAGTTTTATCAAACTTAAACTCGCAAACTTAACAAACTTTACTAACACCAACTTCGATCTTCCTAATCAACATATTGTGATTATAAACATCTTACAAAGAAGCCACAACAAAGGTAAATCTAATACTAGTTCATTTATTTTATTCCACTTACATTACTATACAAGTGCGGATTGCTATACCTTTTTTGTTTCTCACACGGGTATCGTAATCTTAAGCTGAAACCCAAAGTCGTGTTACTCTTGAAGGTTATCTAAATTATTTAACCTTAATTTCTAGGCGGTTTTTCAAGTGGATAAATGCTGCAAAACACTTTCAACTAGACTTGGCGACGAAAAGTATTTCTTCAGAGACCAGTAAGTAATAAAATAGTAACAACCATTTACCCAGAGATATAAAACCTGACTGCCACAGAAAAACTTTCTGACAACCATGAATTCTGCGCTTAAGGAAGTAAATATCAATGGAGGTGTAACTCAGAATTCTTAGTGGTATCAGTACTCAATATTACAAATGTAAATGTTTGGATGAATATTATTCAATCACACCAGTTTTTTTTTTTTTTTTTTTTTTTTTTTAATAAAACATTTATTTACCTTTTGAGAGTCTAAGACATAAAGGTCAAGAATAGACTATGTATCATGCATAGTTTTTCAGAGTGTTCCATCTTTTGTTAATAAAACTGGTAGATACGATCGTTATAACTCTATGTCTACAATTAATTGTCTATGTACGTAAAATGTTGATGTTTTCAGGGCTACAGAGTTGGATGCGTTGGTTTTTGCTCATGTCCACACAATTCTGTCCTCCACTCCTACCTTCAGTAAGATTGCTGATGTCGTCAAAACCTACCCCAATCTTGTTGACCACTCGTTAAGAATTCATGAAGAATTTTTTAGTGGAGCCAATACCAATACCACCTCACTCAAAGTTGTTACAAAACTGATTTGAAATTTCTAATAAACAACCAAATACTCGTTGTTATTTACATTTCTTTATTTCCAATCAAATTTGAGATTCTGTAATAATGTAAGATTATATTATCCTGTCAAGCAGCTCAACGTTAAGTTGTTATTACCAAGATATAGTGATACTAATCAAAAGTCGATTAGGATGATATGTAGGGAAGGAGGAGGGAAAGTCTAACAATACAGAGAGTCACATCAGACACTGGTGGTATTTAAATAATCCAACAACAATTAATTGTTGATAACGTACAAAACAAAACGGTAATGGAGGTGGAAGGGTCTCGCTCACCACTAATTGACAACATCTATAACAACTAATTCTATATTATACTAATTGTTTGATTGAGTAACTTAAAACAGTCTTTTTTGCAGTCATAAATAAGCAAAATGCCCATAGCTAAATTCATATTATCTTGCCTTTATTGGTAGCCTTGACGGTGAAGTATTAGTCTTACCACAAATATTAAAAAAGATTTCCCAACGTAACAAGCACTGGTCTTATCGGACGATATGGTGAGCATCAAGCTAGATTACAACACAAATTTGTTTGCATCAGTTTATATTTATTTTTACTGAGCCCTGTTACAATATGGAGTAAAAACTAATACTGATAATAAATTCAGACACAACATTTTAGTTCTTGTAACAGAATAATACCACAAAATGAGTGAGAGTGTAATTTGATAGTATCTCGTTTAAACTCTTATATAGCTAATGTGCTTAGCACAATATAAAATTCATAAAATAAATCTACGCAATCAAAAAATAATAACAATGTGGCACAAATAACATGTTGCGGCAGTTTTCATTCCAGATGAAAACGCCAGCAAATACACTTTATTATGTATAATATTTATACTTTAGTGGTTTCGGAATCTATACGTTTATACGACAGTGATGGTCCAAGTCTGTGGTTCAGGTTCGGATGAAGAGTCACACATACAGAATGAAACTTTGGGCTTATGGGTTTTTACAGATTATTGGAAACACCTTGTTTGCTTTTGTAACTACGATTAAGTTTCAGTGTAATTTTACACTTTAGCCTTGGGCATTCCCGAGAATACATGTTTTTCACTGTTCAAATATGTAATTTGTAAATTTAATTTATTTATAATAACTTTGTTAGGAAAAGTCTTTGAAAACACAGATGAATTCTGTGATGCCACCTAAATAGGGCCTTATATAGAAGTTGATTGGGCGCCAGGAAATTAGTTAATAACTTAATGATAAAGTTCAACCCTTGGTGTAATTTGGATCAACTATAGATTACATTATTAATTTCACATCAGATAGGTAGAAATAAAAAAATACAGGGTTATTCTCATGACCAACATCTTACTTCATTGCAATTAAATTAAAGGATTAGATTAAAACCAAATAACTTGGAAAAGGAGGTATTGAAAATATTTTAATTTGGTTATGAAATTTCTGGTGGAATAGCTACTTGTTAGTAAACAAATCTAACTTACCTAATTAAAGATCGAGACTTGTAAAATGAACTGCAAAGGGAAAATATAAAGCTATGTCAAAATTTTACCAAAAGCGCCTTCATAAAAATGAGATGTCGAGCAAAACAATCAAGAGAGCATGAAACATGCATACCTACCAGTACTTTGGTAAAAATTAATTTAGTACTAAACTTCACTCATGTTCACAGGTAATATCAAACATTGATTATCTTATAGCTGTGCACAATTAAAATATAGTGCTGCATTAATTGTGACCAGGGTGCTTCAGTCGTTTGCTGGGAAGTTTACAAACTTAAGTTCAAATAAAATATAATTTAGTCAAGGTTCAGGGTTTTCTCCACCCTAAAATGTAGTGTGAATAAGGTGTGAGCTCAGAACTGGAATACAAAACAACACTGTATCATTGCTCAACACCTAGGATTTTGGCCAAATTGAAAAACTACAAAAGTAGCCACCCACGACAATACGCAATTTACCACCGTGTCTTTCCAGGTTTGTACTCCCAGGGCACTTACACTAGATAGGCGGACCCACGAGTAACCCACATTACAATTTTGGTTGAGGAAGCAACAAGGTGTTTTTTACCGTATCGACGACTAACAGTGAAAGGAAACGAACATAATGGCAGTTAACACAGGCCCGGAGCCCTAGACCAGCTGGGGCGGGGCCGGTGATTAGTGGGGACGAGAGGGGAAGGTCACCTCTCCGTCAGGTCAAACGTGAGACCGTTGTTGTCCGCTAGTCCGTACACAGGCGGGGGCTCGGGGCCGGGGCTATCTGACGACAGCTGGAGAGTGGTTAGTGTGCGTGAGCCTTCCATTGCCAACACTACACGCTTGCCCCCGGCCGTCACCTCACAGGCGGTGATGGGACGTTTGGGAGTCCACACTGCACTCAGCTCACCTGCAGATTAAGAATATCACTTGATTCTTCTATACTCCAATTCAAAGGTAGGTAATCATTTGCGTTAAGGAGATTTAGGTTATTGAAGCAGAATTAGCCGGCACACTAGTATTTAAGACTTTATCATAGCAATTTACCGGTAACCCAGCAGAGTTGTATGTATCCGTTGACTATAGAGCTAGACATTCCATCCCCTTGTTAAAGTTGTCACCAGTTTTTAAATCAAAATGAAATTAGTTGAAGTGAGTCACCAACAAGCTGTGCTGGACTGATGTAAATTACAGATTTCTCTTGAATGTACAGACTTTTTAACCATTTTTCAACACAAAACCTTAACTAAACAGTAAAACAGTTCAATTTTAGTAGTTTTAAATGAATCAGAAATGGTTTGAAAATAATTATAAAATATTTCAAAATAATTTTTAAGTAGATATTAGCTTCTTGGATACTTAAAGGTTCTCCGCTGTCTAGCATTGGTAACGATTTAATTGCGTCTATTTTATATTAACATTTTACTAGTTTCTTCTTGACAAAGTATTGACTGACTTCAATCCACTTGCTTTGTTGTCGTTGTAATTTATTAATATGTACAACATAAGAATAATTTAAGTTATTGAATTTTGCAAGAAAAGTGTTGCTATTCCATACAAAAATACTTAACAACAATCTAAGTAGGGACTTAAAACATGACAAAATTGATTCACACTAAATAAACGCAAAAAATGTATAACACGAGAAAAAAACAAGAAATTAAATATCCCAGACGATAATTATCTGCGGAAACAGACCCTTAAGTAAAAGAAATAAATATCTGTGTGACGACTCATACACCTAGCGAGCAACATTTCGGAGGGGTTGACTGACCTGCGACGAGGTTCCACAGCCGCAGTGATCGGTCGCGGCACTCAGCGTCCAGCGAGAGAAAGCAACCTCCACATGGGTCCAGCCTGAGACTGGTGACCGGAGCACTGTGGCCACTCAGGCGCCATCTGCAGTTGCCTACAAACATCAATCAAACAGCTCTGTCAACATTTCACTTGAGCAATTAAGTAAGTGAGACGTGAATAAATAAAAATGTATTGAGGCGTTTCTCTGGTATAGATAGTGTCAATAGAGCGACAAGAACCCTTCCACAACCAATGTCGCTTTTGCTATTTTGTACAATCATATCAACAATTAATGGCTGTTGGATTTATCTATAGCGTCTACTTTCGGTACTTGCATCTGCATGCCCTTGCCTTCTCTCTCCCAAACACCATCATAATTAATAGACACAATCTAAATCCACACCAGATTTTCAAAACAATTGTTGACAAAACGTTAAACACTGAAAATAAAAATTTGCTATCAAAATCTCTTTTTAATATTGGTTTAAATTAGACAGAGCTCAGAATGGAGAATACTGTCATGGCTTTACGTTTGTTAGTGTTATATGACTAGATATTGGGAAACACTGCAGAAGCTGCATTCGATTTTTAAAACAACCCCAGATGAGCAAATAGCAATGTGGTTGATGTTGATGGATCTAGATATGTGGTCTACCTTAAAAATCAACCCCCAAATTTTATGCAGCATCAACTATCACAGGAACAAAAACTAATTGTGGAAAAGATGATCTAAGACTGAAGCACTACGGTACACTCTGTGAATAAACTGTGTTTTTTTATAAACAAATTGACTACAGCTGGTCCACCTCAGTATCCAAAAGTCAATAGTTTTACTGACCTGTTATCAAGTCCCACACCAGTATCTTGCCATCCTCCAGACCGCTGAGCACACAGCCGTCCTTGGATGAGATGTCCAGAGATACGGTGTTGACAGAAGGCTTCCACTTCTTGAACAGAGTCCCTGACTGGAGATCATAGACGACGATGAAGTTGGGGCTGGGTTCATCCACCTCCTACAATGTTAAGTTTTGATAAAAATTATGTTGATGATCCTGACAATCCGCAGTTAAAATACTAAACCTGATTAACAATGATTGGACATTACAGAGTACGTACAGCTGGACTTATGATATTGGACAAGCAATAATTTTTTTAAATGGTTGCAATAAATATTTAGATTAAACAATTTTTAATGTGGGTTAAACAAGGAATACAATAACAACTATATCCCCTTACATTAAACGAACCGAAACATACTAAACAATCTTTTTCAACTTATCCGTCAACATTATAATTCCTTAGCGGTACGTTTAATCAATGTTTTACATGTTGAGAAAATTCGCCGTTTAGTCTTAAACTCTTAATCGTTACACATTTATACAAATCGACAACTGACGATTCTGACAATAGGAATAATCAATAAAAATGTACATTTTTTTGTAACTTAATACATAAACTATAACCTTATTATGAAGGTTGTTAACTAGCTAATGAGAAAAGTATGTGTCAGTTTGCTGATACCGTTTTTTATGTATATATATATTTATGTCACTAGTCTATTTTTCTCATATAAAACTAGGATAGTTTACTGGGTACCATACCTTGGCTACACAGCACACATAGTGTCCTTCGTATGTAATGGCCGCTAGGGTGGTGATGAAATCGTGATGGGGAATGCGCAAGTCGTACAACAGCTTACGAGAGGCTAGGTTCCACACCAGCAATGGGAATGGCTTTTGAGTCTCGTCCCCACAGAC